CAGCTGGGGCGCTGCCGATTGGTCCTGCAGCGCCGCTCTGGGCACTACTGGACCAACCCGGCAGCACCCCAGCTGCTCTGCCCCAAGTATACAGTATTACTTACACTTCACTATTAAAATAACGTTGTATTTACTAACACTTGTTTGGCCAAAACATTAAGAATGTTTTATTTTTAAAGCAAGATTCCTCTTAAGATTGTACTGATTCAGAGAAAAAATAGCCATAGCTGATTGCACAGAATTGCATGCAAAGTACACTTAAAGAGTGCATCCTGAACTAAAACACAAACCTATTTTCATAAGCTATTTTTAGTATCCCCCTCCATTTTTCTTACTCTTAGGATAAAATGTACCTACATACTCACCACCCTTTTTCTGGTCCCAGTTGAGAAAAAGCATCAGTCTTTTCAGGAGGTGTATCGAGGCCATTTTGTTTACTAGTCTCTTTTTAACTATCAGTTCAATCAGCATTAACTAGAATGGCAGAAACAGTGATACATTCTCCTCCCTAATAAATATGCTAACCACTTGCTGTGAATCTTCATTTTCTTAATTCCCTCTAGTATTTCATATAATCATTTCCAACATATTCCTTCCAATTTCCAGTCTGATTCCCTCAATCCCCAGGACTCTCCCTTTCTCTCAAGTTCCTGCAATACAAGATTTTTCTTTCTGAAAAAGAGATGGACCAAGATCCCTGTATAGCATGGTAAGTGTTTCTCCTTCTGTCAAGCAAGCCTCATCTACATTAGCATCACACCTGTTTTTGTGCATGCCAGTTCTGCTACAGAACCTTACGTAGAAGAGCTACCAATAAAGCTGATTAGAATCATATTTTGTCCCGTGAACTAATATATGCAGAAGTATAGGCATAATTCTCTTACAGGAAGAAAACAACCATTCATGATTTCAGATTACATTTAAAATCCAAGAAGCTTCAACCTAAATTTAAAACAAAGTTAAAACACTATAAATAAAATAACTAGAACATTGTTGCCCAATTTTAAAATGCAACGAACGTATAACATTCATTCAACACTGAAATTACAAATCAATCTCATTCTAAAAACTAGCAAGGTTCCTGACATCCTTTTAAAGCTGTAATGTATTCCTACAGTATGGATGCAAACACACCCTAAAATAGTTAAATGGTTAACCATCACAGACAGGGGGCTGCTCCAGCTGGGCCTGCCTCACCGTGGGTAGGGGGCTGCTCTGATAAGCCACATGCTTACTGGGTAACCAGTCAACCTCTTACATCTCCTATCCTACAGCACCACTAACCTAGAATTATAATGCTAAGTCATGAAGGATGTTGTATTTACTGGATATGTTCACTAAATGAATTAGAACAATACTGAGTTTTGTTATTTCACAAAGAGGAGGGTTTTCCCTCTCAAAGCTTGCTTATTTGGAAAGAAAAAATATGAACACTCTTAAACACACTGACACATGATCAGAAGATTTGCCATCCTATTTTTTGCTCTAATAGGAAAATAGTTTCAACCTAAAACAAGGTTGTAGCGCCAAAAAATGAATAAACAAACAAATGGAAGTGTTGAGTGGACGCACAGGATTCTCAATAAAGCAAGTCATCTATAATGAAATTCAATTTTGCTTTAAAATGTTTCTGGAAAAATTATTTGCAATTCCAAGTCTTACACAAAACAGCGTTCAGCATAGCAGCCCCAGTCAAAGCTGCAAAAAAGCAGCAAAGGCTTGGAAATGAGAAAGAATATGCATGCAATCAACTTATGTGGGCCACTCAGAAGTTCAAATCTTTATTGCTTCTCTAACCTCAAGGAGCCTATCAGGTTTTGGCTTTGTCTACACTGCCAATGAATGATAAAAGTTTTGTTGTTCAAATAGATGTTAAAAAAAAAGCAGCAGCTCCCCCATCTCAAGATAAAAGTTGTATGTCATCAAGTGGCAGCGTGAATAGCTTGTTGTCCGCAAAGGTGGTAGAAGTATTTTGTCATCAAAAGTGACAACAAGCAGCATTCACACTGCCAGACTTTTAGCAACATGGCCATTTCACTAAAAGCTGTATAATGATGCCACCTGAAGTTGTGCTGGTAATTCAACAGATGGCACTGTTCCCAGATGTCACAGCCAATAGCCAATACCCCAGGATGGCGACAGGACTATATGCTGCTGCCTATGGCATCCTCATAAAAGCAAGGCTTTGATCACTTGTAATTACTAAAGAACAAATCAGCAATTTTTGTAACAAATTATTTTAATCCCAGGTGTCCTTGCCAAATTCCACTACAGGTTGGAGCTCCCTAGTCTGGTACCCTTGGGACCTGGGTGGTCCCAAAGGAGGGATTTTGCCAAACCAAGGGAGGTCATTCCCCCCAGCCTGGCTCTTCTCCTGGCCTGGCCTCCGGGCAGGCTCCCCATGTACAACCCAGCCCCGCTGCTCTGCCACAACAACCCCCAGACCTGCTGCTAGGGCTCTCAGCTTTGCCACAGCAAATCACTGCTCCACAGCCGGTATTCACGGCCCCGCCAGCCCCACCAGTCTGCAGCCCCACCACTGGGACTCCTGGCCCCCAAGCAGCAGACTAGTGCTCAGTTAGCAGGATTCCCAACCCTGCCAGGGAAGCACCAGTCCTGCCGCCGGGGATCCTCGCCCAACCACAACAGACCACTGCCCCTCCAGAGCCTGCTGGAATTCCGGCCATCCTGCCACTGCCTCAGCCAGACTCCGCAGCAGGGCTCCTAGCTGCTGGCCTCTCTGCAGCCGGCTGGGCTGGGTGTTCCCAGCCCCTGCAGGGCTCCTGCACCTGGCCCTCTCTGGACCAACAAACATCAATAGGCCCACAGAACAGCCATAGGGACAAGCCTAAAATGGTTCAGGTAATATCATTAGCTCTTTTCCTTCAGACTCAAAACTGAACCTATGCTCCAGCAGAGTGATGGAACAACCAGACTAAGCAATGGCTTCTTTCAGAGGAGACAAATAGGTGCTGGCCAGAGCCATCTTGTCCATAGCACAGTCAAGGACAGCTACCCCAGTCCTGCGCTTTGGAAGGCCCCATGGAGGCTGCCTCCGTTGTCCTACGGACAAGTCGCAGGGCAGACCAGGGGATTATCTGAGGCTGCAGGGGTTGCCCCCACCCAATTCAGTGCGGTGGCAGGAGCCGGAGCAGCCTGCTCTGCTTTGTCCTGATGCCCTCTCTCATGGCAGCAGGAAGCAGAGCGCTCTGGCCCAGGACACCATGCTTCCTGCTGTCATGGTGAAGCAGAGCACAGCAGACTGAGAGGGGTAAGTGGGACAGGACAGAGCAGACTGCTGGGATCCCCCAGGTCCCACCACCATGGTAAGTGTGGGAAGGGGGCTGACCCCTGTTGTCACCCTGCGCCAGGCCTTCAGGTAATTCCCCAGCTTGCAGGCCTAAGGGGACTTTGACAAGGGAACCAGGCAGGGGCGGAACTTGGAGGAAGAGGCATGGTAGGGCCTGTGGCAGGGGGAAGAGGGTTTGCCCTGGGCCTTGCACCTGAAATACTGGGGGGGGAATTAACTGTATAATCAAATGTATGTTGACATCCCTAATGTACATTAAACAAGGTTGCAGAATATTTATGTTAAATCAACTATCTCCAGTCAGTAACTGCAGTATAAAATTTGTACTTGAATGTGTAAGAGCCAAGTGGACTAGGTACTATTTCACATCCAAACAGCTACGTAAGTTACTTTAGAAAAGCAAATCACTAGTTATGAACTCAAATTTGTCACCACATTCAGCGTTAAGTAACTTTCTACTTTAATCAAAATCCCAGTTTGTTAAATTTTGATGATTTAACAGAATAAAACCCTGTAAATTCTAAAACTAGAAGCACGGACACACATTAAAAAAGTGATCTGAAACACACTTGTACTCTCACAAGTACAAAAGGTTCTCCTCTCATTTACTCTGCCTTTAAAACAAGGCAGTAGCAATCCTGGAAATCTTTGGAAACATTTATAAAGTTCTGTGGGAGCTTTTTCCAGATTATAATGGTGAATTATTTTAGTGTTCAGAACCAAGACCTCAGTTAGATGAAAGAATGCAGTTAACACCCCTCAACTATTTTTCAGTAAGACCACGTTGCAACCAATTCGCATTCAGAGTGGTATCCATGTGGCTAACGTGAATAGCTATCCTAAAATGATATTATCATATGAAAATTGTTATATGTTTCTAGTGACCTAGTCATAAGGTGCTAATGATATTTTTCCTCTGCCATATACAGTACTGTATTTCAAGAGCCAGAGCAAAAAAGACTTAAGTGCCTTAATACTGATTTAAAGAACGTGTGCGCCTATACATTCATTAGAGCTATAGGGTAAATATTTAAATCTTTCAAAACTCAGATCAGGGATCACATTAGAGCACAAGTCTCCACAACTAATCTAACAGTTAAAATTATTCCGTAATTTAAGATGCAACCATATGTTAAATGTAAGTTTATGCAGCAATCTTTGAAAAACTCTCACCTTCATATGAGTGCATTCCACGTTACACAGAGAACACATGTGTGGAAATATCCTTGGAGATGTAGCATAGTAGTCATTCATCATAGATGGAGTTGGCAGTCTCTTTATCTTCTGCGCAGCAGCCTGTGAAAACACTGGAAGCCAAGATGCTTTCACGACTCCGAAAGGAGATTTAATAGGACCTTCGACTTGCGACTGGAAGTTCTTCTGACCTGAGCCAATGTGTGCATTAGACTGATTAGTCTCAGAGTCACGTTGAATCCTTTCATGCTGTCTTACAGCTGCAAGGAGTTCTGCTGAAAAGGGTGGATGGGTGATAGGTGGCATCACAGACTGGCTCATAGATGGCTGGGCCAAAGACTGCTGGACAGATGTCATCACAGACTGGGGCACAGATGGCATAACAGGTGGCATCACAGGCGGCATCACAGGCTGGGTCATAGGTGGCATCATAGGCGGCATTCCAGGTGGCATCATAGGCGGCATGCCAGGCTGGGTCATAGGTTTCACCACTGGGAGTCCTGTAGGTGTCAGGCATAACCCTGGCACCTTGCTTGCAGAATCAACCGAAAAAAATGACTGAGTATTTGATGAGTCAGTGTGGAAACCCATCTGTTTCATTAATTCTTCCATTGGGAACATTGGATTACATGATACATTGGAAGTTGGAACTGAAAGAGATTCCTGTGGTTGAAATTCTTTCCTGTTCTCTTCAGTTGGTTGTTCAGGGTTGTATTCACTCATCTCAAGAGGATCGTCACTGTATCCATACCTACTTGTGTGCCCATAATCAATCACTTTGCTCTTAACGGCAGAACCACCTGTTCCACCAATTGTTTCTTTTTCTCTGCTCTGAGAATGTAAATTGGGTAGCTGATGACCCATTTTACGCATTCGTATATCCCTCAAAATTAGTGGCATGTTTTCAGGTGTGAGCTGATCATCTGGATAGCGACTGAGTTCTTCCAGATCTTCATTAGATAATCCAAAACTTGCTAAAATACTTGATGCACTCTCCGTTGTATAACGGCTCTGGACATTTGTATGCTGCTCTGTGATCCGTGTTGATGCAGAGTGCTTTCGGCTCGTGTTTCCAGTTGAACATGGATTGTTATCCCAACGTGAAGTACGAACTTTTTCCTTCGGTTCATTTTGTAAGTTTGCCATCTCCTTTGCTTGCCTTGGATCGAGTCTGTGTTGAGTTACCTGAACATTAGTTCTTCGTGGTCCTGTCCGCTGTAAAGTTTCATGTCCTATAAATCTTTGTGAAATTCCTTGAGGTGTTCCAGGTACAGGCTTTCTTTGAAAACCTGCTATGCCAGCTCCCCTAAAAGCACCATGAGGTTTTGAGCCAGGTGGATTAGGTGCTCTTGGCCTTTGCTGCAAGTTTCCTCTAGGACTACACATGGCGATTTTCAGGCATGCCTGATTTAACAAAGCATAAGGC